ATCTTCAATGACGAACTTCGTTTCTAGGTGATCTTCGTCTTTTGATGGGCAAGATGTTGTTTGTCCTATTGAACTAAGACAAACTTTATGAATTGAGGCTGAGGTTCGTCGTTGTGACGACCCTCGTCGTACTTGTAGTGAGGCTCGACTCTCCTTCGTTTCTTGGCATTTTTTTGTGTCTACACCAGTTCTAGCTCACACCTTACTAGTTCTAAACTCAGCCCGCGTTTTTTACATTCACACTTGTTAATTCATGCTTCTACGTTAGTTCTAGCTTCTATTACCCTAGTTCTATCTTGTATATAGCCAGTTCTAGCCCACACCTTGCTAGTTCTAAACCCAACAAGAGTTTTTTACATGTACACTTGTTAATTCTAGCTTCTAGCTTAGTTCTAGCTTCTATTACTCTAGTTCTAGCTTGTATATAGTCAGTTCTAGCCCACACCTTAACTGGCTGTATACAAGCTAAAACTAGGGTAATAGAAACTAGAACTAAGGTAGAAGCAAGAATTAACAAGTGTGCATGTAAAAAACACGGGCTGGGTTTAGAACTAGCAAAGTGTGGGCTAGAACTGGCTGTATACAAGCTAGAACTAGGGTAATAAAAGCTAGAACTAACGTAGAAGTAAGAATTAACAAGTGTGAAGGTAAAATACGAAGTCTGGGTTTAGAACTAGTAAGGTGTGGGCTAGAACTGGCTGTATACAAGCTAGAACTAGAGTAATAGAAGCTAGAACTAACGTAGAAGTAATAATTAACAAGTGTGAAGGTAAAATACGAAGGCTGGGTTTAGAAAGCTCACACCTTGCTAATTCTAAACCCATCCTTCGTATTTTACCTTCACACTCGTTAATTCTTGCTTCTACGTTAGTTCTAGCTTTTATTACCCTAGTTCTAGCTTGTATACAAGCTAGAACTGGCTGTATACAAGCTAGAACTAGGGTAATAAAAGCTAGAACTAACGTAGAAGCAAGAATTAACAAGTGTGCATGTAAAATACGCGGGCTGGGTTTAGAACTAGCAAAGTGTGGGCTAGAACTGGCTGTATACAAGCTAGAACTAGGGTAATAGAAGCTAGAACTAACGTAAAAGCAAGAATTAACAAGTGTGAAGGTAAAATAAGAAGGCTGGGTTTAGAACTAGCAAGGTGTGGGCTAGAACTAGCTGTATACAAGCTAGAACTAGGATAATAAAAGCTAGAACTAAGGTAGAAGCTAGAATTAACAAGTGTGCATATACAAAACGCGAGCTGGGTTTAGAACTAGCAAGGTGTGGGCTAGAACTGACTGTATACAAGCTAGAACTAGGGTAATAAAAGTCAGAACTAACGTAGAAGCAAGAATTAACAAGTGTGAAGGTAAAATACGAAGGTTGGGTTTAGAACTAGTAAGGTGTGGGCTAGAACTAGCTGTATACAAGCTAGAACTGGGATAATAGAAGTTAGAACTAAGTTAGAAGCTAGAATTAACAAGTATGCATGTAAAAAACCCTTGTTGGGTTTAGAACTAGCAAGGTGTGGGCTAAAACTGGTTGTATACAAGCTAGAACTAGGGTAATAGAAGCTAGAACTAACGTAGAAGCATGAATTAACAAGTGTGAAGGTAAAAAACACGGGCTGAGTTTAGAACTAGCAAGATGTGAGCTAGAACTGGCTGTATACAAGCTAGAACTAGGGTAATAGAAGCTAGAACTAAGGTAGAAGCAAAAATAACAAGTAACGGTTAGAAATAACTTAGTAGTCAGAATTAACAATTGTAGCAGCTAGAACTAACTCGAGGGCTACTAGAACTACCACGATAGCATCTAGAAATAACATATTATTATGTATAACTATTATCAAATATAATTAACAATGATTTATAAAAACATGACTGTATCCTCATTTATAACAACGATTTATAACTACCGTCCCAGCTTACAACGATTTTTGGTAATTAAATATTTTTTCAGCCTATTTTGCTAATTAAGTTTTAGAAGTGGTCTATTTTAAAAATTTGTTCGAAATTAAAATACAAAAAGATTGCGCACATTAGGTTTATTGCAAATTCAGCTTCCTCCAAAAAGGCGTGGATGTCTCGTGAAAGTGGAAAAATGGAGACAACTTTTGACTATTTTTTAAAATTAAATCGTTCATTTATTTGTAGCTGGTCAAACATTTTTTCTTTTTTCTTCTTCTTCTAGCTAATGGATTAATGCTCTGTGCATCTCGGCCTGGTGACTAAAAAAACATCCACAACAGAATCGGTCATAATTTACAAATACAGAAGCTCATAAGGGTAAATCCACAGTCATGTAATAAATTAAAAACGTAGATATATTGTCAACATGAACCCTCAATTGATCAAAGTCATCTCAAATAAAAAAAAGAAAAAGTAATGTCCAAATCTCAACGGGGCACAACAACATCATCATTTACGGTAAAGATCAATCTCAAAGACCAACATACTCTCGTAGCATCATCTTCTTAAATTCATCAAAGTATAAAACACCATCTCCATTAACATCATACCTTCGGATCATCTCCCTGCACTCCTCAACAGTCTTCAATTGCCCGAGCTTTTCGAGCGTTTTCCTCAAGCTCTGTGGCGGCGATCTACGGCGGGGGAGCGGCGGCGATCTACGGCGACGAGGACGGGTGGAGGAGGGGAGGGGAGGCGGCGACGAACTCGAGGGGAGCCTTGGGGGCCTGAGCGGAGGCGGCAACGGTGAGGAGGGCGAGGACCAGGTTGACGAGCTTAAGAAATCTCTTAGTTTTAGAGAGAGGAGAGAGAGAGAGAGAGAGAGAGCTTCTCTATAGATCAAGAGAGAGAGAGAGAGAGAGAGAGAGAGAGAGAGAGAGATAGATGATATGAGTGCTGGGTCTGAGGGATTGAGGAGAGAGGATAAGGATAATTTGGGGATTTTAGCTTAGCTGACATGTAATAATTGATAAAAAAGGCTGTAGTATAAAGTGTCACACATCAATGGGCTGATTCACATGGAAAAAACTATGAGGGGCATCGTTACATGAAGTTTCTCCTTTTAGGGTCTGTACATATTTTTCCCCTTTTTTTAAATAGTCATGCTTGTTCTATAGAAAAAACAAGAGACTGCGGAAAATTAGAAGTCCACATTGTGTCTTCCTCATTCCACAATTTCACAGTTTAACTGCGGTCAAGATACACGCGTGATGCACGCCAAGTTATAGCTGCTTACTAACAAACCTTTGGTACTTTTGACTAGTTAGTAGGGGTGCTAAATTGTATCCGTATCCGAGAAAATATATGTAAACGTATCCGTTAGGATACAAATATGGTTACTCAAATCTATAACCGATAGGATATGGTTACGGATATGGTTTTATAGTGAAATATCTGTATCCGTATCCAAAATATCTGAATACATATTAGTCATACTCTTACGATAGTTTCGATTCTTAGATTATGAATTTGTGATTAATTTTGATGATCAATATGTCTAATCTTAACTTTTTAATTATAATGAACATATTGACGAACTTTTTTGTATCACATGAACTATGTTTTTCTCCATACTATCTAGTTTTCTCATATCCATTTTGTATCCGCATGCATATTCGCTCATATATCTGCATGAATATCCGTAACCGTATCCGATTTTAGCGGATATGATTATGAATTTTTATTACCGAGATATATCAGTATTCGTATCCGAGATGGGTAAGTAGATAGGATATGGTAAGCATCATATCCGAGCCTTATCCGGACCGAGTGCACCCCTACTAGTTAGCAAGCCCTCTCCTTCCACAAGCACCACAAAATAAAGCCCACGAACAGAACTTTGGTATCCTTCACCATTCTATCTGAAATCATATTGGGATTGATAGCGAAGTAGTTGACTGTGGATATTGATTAATGAATACCCTTTATAGTGAACTGATGATACTCGTGAATAAGCTCGAAAGCCTTAAGAATGGACTTTATGGTATGTTTGGGGGTTCACTTATTAGGAAAGGGAAGGAAGGGAAGGAAGGGGAAAAATTCCCCTTCCTTTCCTTCCCCTTCATTACCCCCAAATTCCGGGTATAACGTTTTGTCACAAATTTACCCTCATTCCTCTCATTTACCCTCCTAAATACAACTCCCAAACAAGGTTAAATTACATTTCTCTTCCCCGCCCCCTCTCTACCCACCATCAAAACAGGCCATTAGCCTTTAGCTGTCCAAACTCGCATTACCTGAGAGGCTAAATTGCAGAAAAATGCCCTATAATTTCAGCAACCTTGCAAATAAATGATCCCTATGTTCAAACTGAGCAAATAAATGTCCCAGTGTTTCCTCTGTTTCCAAATTTTTTGTGAAGACAAAAACATCCCTTCCCAATTAAAAAGAAGAAAATAGTTCACATAGGTGAAGGATGATTTTCATCGTAATTTGGATGAAGTTTAGGGATATAGAACTGTCGTGAAATATCATGCAACAACTCACAGGGGTGGGGTATATATTCCAAGAATGTTCTAACGGGGAGCATCAATTCGCAACATTTTAAAAACTTTGGGGGTTTATAATTTCACGGTTTCAAAACTTTTGGGTATTTATTTGCAAAATATGAATACACCGGGGCGTTTATTTGCTCAGTTTTAAAATAGAGGTCAGTTATTTGCAATGTTAGTAAAACTAAAGGGGCATTTTCCCGCATTTTAGCCTTACATGTCATCTCTAACAAAATTTCAAACTCACTATAAGCTTCCTGAAGTAGAAGCAACCATCAGCATACATTAAATGATGTGATCTTCTTTTATCACAGCGTCCTATATTCGCTCAAGGCTCTTAAATTAGTAATACAATATAACAACATTATGCCTACATTATCAGGTCATGCTGCTTGTTTCTCATCATAGACAGCCATTGCTACTGGACTATCATTTAAGTTGATGGCATGCCTACAGTTGATAATAAACTGGAGATTGTTCACAAAAGGAAACAGTATGGCCAAAACTTCATGCCACTACATGTTGATGCGAAGAACAATAAGCAAGAAGCTCGCGGCTGAAAAGAAACTAGATTTGTTCATGGGAAAGAAAAAAAACATTTTGTAAAGGCTCACAGGAGTTGTATATCGTCTGCGGGATTTCCATTGAGACCCTACTACTACTGCTCATAGCAAACCAAAATTTTTACCAAAAAGAAAGCATCAAAATAAATTAGTTAATGGGAAAACAGAATAGTTAGTTTGATACAGGTACAGACAACATTTTAACTGTCAACAGCGGCATTAATCCCCCCCAAAGAGGACGAGAATTGCTCTCTCTGGGCGGTGTCAGTGTTGTACTGATGAAGTCTCCTGAAATGTAAAAGCTGAATCGTTAATACATTAAGCCAACAATAAGAAAATCACGGGTTTAGAGAAGATTTTGATATTAAAAAGAGTTATTAGCACCTAAATACCCCCGAGTTTGCACTAATAAAAAGAGTTATTTAACTTTAACACCTCAAGGTTTTTCGTCCAATGAAAGACCCCAAAGTTCCAAAAAGTTTTTAACTTTGGTGTCCCTGTTACGTCATTTTAGGGTATCAAAGCTAAAGATTTTTGAACTTTGGGGTAATTTTTGGGGCAGAAAACCTTTGGGTACCAAAGTTATAAAATGGTGTAAGCTTCGAGGTATTTAATTGGAAATAATCCTATTAAAAAAAGGCAATAAGAGACATAGGAATAATGAAAGTAACAATTGGCGGCAAGTTGAACCTCAGAAATGATATTAAGGATTATCAGTACCATTGATCAGTGCATTTGAAATCTCACAATATTCAGAGGCATGGATGGTATTAGTACTGAAAAAGGTAAAACATACCTTTCATGAAATGTCATGCCCAATTTCATTCTATGTAAAACTTGGAAGTGATGCGTGGATGTCTCTGACCAGATGCCTGCTGCAATTCATATGCAAATTCCACATCCATCAAGCGATGATTCTCTTTGGAACGACTCATTGAGAAAGATACAGTTAAACTGTCACCCTTATTAACTCTTGGAGGTGGATGTAACATAAATACCTGCTCAAACAAAAGAAATATTTGCTTAGGAAAGAGAGAAGATTGACTAGTATTTCATATGCAGGTGCTCTAGTTTCAATCTTATGCAAACAAGACCTAAGTGCCAAGGACCATCACAATTAAAGCATTTTCACAATGTTTATCAACCATAATTTTCAACGCACAGAAAGAGTTCACCTCCATATGTCAATTTCTCCCCCACAATGGCACACATTGGTCAATTTAAGCAAGTTAAATATCATGTAATTTTGATATGAATAGTACCTCAAATTATAATCATGAATTAGTATCCACCAAAGGGAGATAAATGAAACTATAGCACAACCAGAACATTGAAGTGGAAGTAAAACTTTTGTTTTGTATCCTGAAGCCAAATCAGACTTTTAATTTGTCAACTATCTCAAAAACTGGACTACCTAGTAAATGATCTCCATATTAAAAACTAAACCTCCAAAAGTCCTCATAAAAGAGAAATTATAACAGAGCACAAAATCTCGTCGTCATTGCTTTGGTCTTTTGCCAGAACCCCTGGAGGCAGACTTGAATATTAGTAAATTATGCGTCTTGGACAAACATAAGGAGCCAATTGGAAGTGATCCCGCTTTTTTTCCTCCTTTAACAACATACCATTTAACTGTTCAATATGAGGTGGATGATGAAGGGAATAACAAAACTGGAAGGTTAACATGGTGTGAAGAAAGGACTGACAAGCAAGTTATTCATTTTGCTTCAAGATGTCCTCTTTGTTTCTAGACATTACTACTCAACAGAATGAAGAGGCAACTATCTAAAAGGGAAAGCCATGAGGGGATTAAGTGAATTGGTATATGTTAAAATTGAACAAGCTGAGCAATACCAACAGGAGGTTGACTGACAGCATCCCAGAACATGTGAAACATAAAAGCGACCAGAAATAATAGGAGAGAGAGATAGTTCATATCACACTACAGCATGAATTGAATTGCAACTACAAAAAAACAGGATTCAACTAATATAAGATTATAAGGAAAAAAGAACCTTCGCCATTAGAGATGTGAGTAGGATGAGTTGCAAATCCAAGAGATTAACAAAAGGTAGTAATAGGATTCAAATAGACAGTTTCAAAACACTCCAGAATGTAACTTTCCATGGTACACATACAGCTGAAGAGCAATAGACAACCTTTCCACGTGACCTTGCTGAGAAGTCATCATACTCCTATTGATTGGGGATCAATAACTCTAAGACAAGTGTCAATTATAGAGGCATGATTTGATTTTCAAATTGTATTAATTTAGGATTGAAGTTCTTATGAGTTTCAAATTTAATTAGGTATAAAACTTCATCTGATTTTCAAAATGTCATACGGATAGAGTACAAAGCTCCATGTAAGGAGTAGTAGGACTACATTGTAAAGCAGAGAGATATGATGAGAAAAAAATTGTGTTGCTTGAGAGTTTGGAGTGATTCTATAGTTGATGCTTGTGCATGAAGCTGTCCTAAACTAACTCTAGATCCAAATTTCCTCAAACAGATCACCACCATACCATCTACCAAAAACAAATAAAACAAAATAAAAACTCCGCCCAAACTCTTTCACGAACAGCAGTTGCCCCCCTCCTTCTGACATCTGCAGAAAGCTTTGTCTTCAACTCCTTGAACTCACTGACCTATCTTCGTCCTTAACCAAGGCCTGAGCCACCGCCTCATCGTCATCAACCTACCCTCGAATTCACCAGGAAACTCAATGGCCAAGCAGACATCGTCCATCTGAAAGTTTGTGTTTTGTACAAGATTGCAAACTAAAGGTGTTTGTTGATCATCGACTCAGGTAATCTCCAACCTGACCATATCTTGTTAAATGTTTATTCTTAAAGTTGCAGTTTATAATTCTGTAGTCTGTAGTTAAATTCATCCCAACTTATTTGAGTTATTTGCATGGTGTGATAGGTTATAAAATATTTGCACAGGCCTTACTCATCTTTAGAAACTTGCTTGCATTTGTTTGCTTGTTTGTCATTTGACATTTATTTAGATCTATTTAGAAGTTCATACCCTTATAGACTCATGCTGTGTCACTTATAGTCTCATTAATAAACACAAAATGGCAACACATCCACACTGGAAGAATCCACCAACTAGGGTTACTAAATTTACGTCAACCTTCTTAGAGTATCCCCATGACTTTGTTAATGATACGGGTCAGAACACAACTAAATAATTCTCTAGCTCTGATCTTCTAATTATTCTCTCTTTTTTTATGAATTTTTTTTTACTACATTCTTCTTATTTGTTTCGCTTGTCATATGAAAGCACTCTAAACTGCATCATTTACTTTTATTTAGTTAATTAGTTCGCCAAGTTAATACTCAATAAGCACATGGCACTTGTAGTGAAGACACTTTATGCTCCAGGTTGTCATGTATTTGCTTAAATCCTTGAGGAATTCGTTCTTCGTGGTTAAAATAGGAACAGATTAGGTGTTCATGTTACCTAAGAAAATGAGCATTAGCAATCAAAGTGCAGTACTTGTCTTCATGGATTTCTTCACTGAAAACTAAACACCTTACATTAACAAAGGCAATTCATAAATTAGACACCCAAAGAGGACACATTTTCGGTCGAGTTCAAAGCAAATCCTCCAAGCTGAAAGAGAAAGGCATGATGAACATTCCGTATGAATCAGATATTCAAAATTTAATGTACCTCATGGTGTACAAAAGGCCTGACATTGCACATGCCATTTGTATGGTTAGTTGATTCCTCCCAAATTTGAGCAAAGAGCATTTGGGGTGATAAAATGGATGTTTTATATCTCAAAATGAATTTCGAAGGAGTATTTATTCTTTGGAGATGATCATATAGTGTTGGTTATTTATGTGGATGCCGAAATGACCGATCATATTTATACTAGAAAATCTACGATAGTTATCCTAATAGGCAAAGCTAGTCTTAGTGATCAACCGATTTGTTCTTTATCCATACTAAGCTTTACTTATCTGGATAATATTTTTTCTTTTGTTGAGGAGGTTATGATTAATTATTAATTACTAGTCACACCTATTCGAAAAAAAATTATTTCGCCATCAAATATCCAATTGATTCCTAAGTGGTAGCTGGATTGCACGCAACAGACAATGTGCTTGCAATGCAGATCAGAACACAGAAAGTAATTTTAATTTATTTAAACCATAGTCCAAGACTAAAAGTAACATCATTTTTTACCCTCACATACACTAGCAATCAAACAAATTGGAAAGCTGAAATTGATGAGAAAACAAACCTGTTGGCCCCAGTGTGTGTAATCCTCTGTGCTAGGGGCAGTAGTCAACTCAACTTCACTCATGGCTGGGTTCTGCATGCTACCCTGGGACAGCATAACAAAAGTATATGTATTATTTTGTAGCTGTATACATAAAACACACAAATAAAGTAGTAGTAGCAATAATAAAAGAAGGATTACATACTCGAAAATGAACATCAAACCACCCAGCAAATCCAGATAATTGTGTGTGATCGATATTGATGCTCGACATGAAGTTTGCTGTCACATTACGAATATCATCTACCGTAGCTGTCAAACAATCAATTTCCTTGATGATAGCAGGGGTCCCAACTATTTGATGTGGGTGAAGGTTGTTCCACAATGAAGTCTGGAAAAATTCAAAACACCCATATAAGGTAATACTAATTCAAAATAAGAGGACTAGTCTTCATAGCAAGAAGAATCTGAAAAGAAGAAAGACATAAATGCAAAAGGAATAGAAATATGAAAATTATCTGATATATGAGATGCAGATCTGGTCAAATACAATTTTAAAGAACAACTACAAAAAAGTGAAAGGATAATTGCATGAACCTCGAGCTTTGAGCTTTGGTTATGGGAATATTTCAATGGTTAAGGGAAACAATTAAGAAGTTAAAATTGTTAAATTATTATAGGCCACAATAGGTCACAAGTTAGTAGACAAGTGGTTCGCAAAAATATCCTCGCACCTCAATCCATACATGCATCATGTGGTCCAGTCTATACTTGTGAATGAAGAAACACCACGATATACTGTATTGAGTATCATAAAGATGTAAATGCTTCCAAGGAAACTACAGCTATTCTGCCCAGAATTGCACAGTATGAATCCACCATGGAACTAACAATTTTGCTTTCTGCTTGATGTTTCGCCATATAATCATGTTCTTCACTATCTGATCTCCACATAATTAGTCATAGTACCAGCTATATTAAGTGCATCATAGTCACTTTTTTAACCAAAGAAGCTAAATGGTTCCATCTGAAATATTTCCTTGGAAAAAAGGATCAAGAGCATTAAATTTGTCCAAGAATTGTGTGGTTTTTCTATAAAAAGCTCCAGCGTGACTTTTGCTCAGAAAACGCATAAAACAAAACCACTTGAATTCCAGCAGCATTCACAACTAAATAAGATTAAAAAGCAACAAAACTTCAACAGAAAAACTTCAAAACATATGTGCACGAGAAAAAAGCAACCTGAGGCCAGCTATGAAGCACGGACACGCATAACATGAAGCCGTGTCGTGTCGTGTCCGTGTCGGACACACGTGTCGAACACATGTATCCTATGTATTTTTTAGGATTTTCCTCGTGTCGGCGTGTCGGATGGCCGTGTCGGATCCGTGTCCGTGCTACATAGGAGGCCAGTATTGAGGAGAGGAAAGCTTAAAGCGGAGCAAAGCAAACAGGTGTTGCTTGGGCCTTAAAGGCTTTAGCACGAAAATCACCAAAGGTATCTTAAATAAACTTTAAAAGTAAAATGAAAAACAAAAGAAAATAGAAACAATGAAAATTGGAATCTAAATTTTGAAATAAACAGGAAAAGTTTTGATGGTTCAAATTTATAGACAATCACATATAATATATGATAATATCTCGTATAATATCTAAGAAAACAATTCTACAAAGTATGATAACCATAAACTTGTTAAGAGATGGTCACTGAACAATCTGATTTACATATATAAGAATTAAGAATGAACCATTACAAGAATCAAGAAGATATATGTAAATACTCAAACATCTTACATAATTATATTGATAAAACTACAAAAAAAAATTATGAGTTATAATACTCGTACAATAGATTCATTCAAGCATCTTACAAAGGCAAAAGGTCAATAATTTTACAATTTAAGAAAAGAAGATAATAACGAATATCTACAAAATCAACAAGATGAAACAATATAAAAATTTGAAAAACTTGGTGAAAGAATGGGTCAGAGTTCTATATGAAAATAATGAAGTAATCAAGAAATAACATTTAAAGATTTTTGGGAGTTTTTTGTTGTTGCAAAATATTTTCCTAATAACCTTTATGAAATCAAAGATAGCTTTAACAGAGTTGAGTTGGCAAAACAAGTGCAACAAGGATTCAACATAGACCTTAATCCTACTTTAGCACACTAGAAGGTTTAAGGCGGGTAAAAGTAAGACTTCAAGTTTTTACGTTTGTGTTAAGGGGTCTTTGCTAAAACTTTTGGCTGAAAAAAGTTGGTCACTGGTCTGATTCAGCTAAAGCGGGACATGCATTTGCTTTCACAACAATGCTAGAGACTAGTGTCCTGGTTTGTTTCAGCTAAAGCGCAGCTTTCATTGGCTTTTACAACAGTGCCTAATGCCAAATAAGGTCCCCAAACTAAGAAACAATGTGTCAAATCTGAGGAATCAACTTCCTCAATTTCTATACAAGTCCTAAAAACTCCTAAGCAATGCCTGCATTATACTACACAGGCTACATCAAGGAGCAAACATCTATCCATAATTCCTGCACAAAATAGTCTATCAAGCATCAAGTTTTTGTTTCATGTCAGCCTTCTCATTGCTTTTGATTTCTCAATTAACCTCTGCTGGTTCTCATTTTCTCATCTGCATTATAAAATTTGAGGCCGAGTTTTCTCCAACTAAAGAAGTGAAAGTGAAAGACTTCTTAAAATCAATAAAATTAAAAGAATTAAAAATAAATAGATCTAGATATCCAGGAAAGAAATCTCTAGTCAAGTTAGGATTGAAAGAAACCAAAACTAGTTAAATCTTGCTTTAGCTTAGATTGAAATTACTTTATTTGAATAGTACTTAATTTATTTATATTTAATTCAGATTAGTTATGATTATGATAACTAGTTTGGCTCCGATTAGGATTACAACCTACAGTTACCAATGAGTATAATTTGTTTTAGTTGATCAATTGAACTTCTGATATTTGGTAAAGATGAGTATGCATATGAAATGCTTACCTATAGAACCCTAGCCTAACTTTCTTTCACAGATACCATCTCCTCTTTTTCTTCCTCAAATTTCCAAAACAGCCCAGTCCTAACCCAATACTAATTGCCTAGCTGCTGCCACGTCCATGCTGCTGCCGTATCTCTTTACCACATCTAAAATTCTAAACTTTCTTTAGTTTTGTTCCTTATAAACATTTAATATATATTTATATTTTTTCTCTAGAAATTAAGCCTCATCCTCGACTAGATTATAATTGTTTCTTAATCAGTCGTATAAAATTATTCCTAGACCATCTACCAATAACACAAATGAAGTATTTACATCTAAACAAATAGAATGCATAAGCAGAAAGATTCATGTGCACCGTCTGTGTCTACCTCAAGATATTGAAAGTTGAAACAAAAATCGAAAGTACCTTGAGATAGTATTTTTCATTCTCTTCACGGTATGCCTTTGTTAAAGCATTCATATTAACCCCATAATGTGTTTCAGTGTCAGCAACGAAGCTGTACCAGTCACTCATAGCAGAATTAAAGTCACCCTTTTTCTGGTCTGCAAGTCCAGATCTTATAGGTGCTACCCACATGCGAGCATGACTAGGGTACCTGCATGAAAGAGAATTAACGTAAGTATAGCATCAGCTATTGTCAACTGTAGTAATGAACATTGACCAAAGAAAAAGGCTTTAATTCAATAACAACATTTTTTGGTTAGTTGTCTTGTTGTCAATAGAACTTTCCTCGTGAAAAGTTTTGCTCCATGAATAAAGGAATCTTCGAGGACAGAAAAAACCATTTCAATATCTGAGATTTTCCCACTATGCAAATATAAGAGCTGAAAGGAAGATAATAGTAGTACAGTATATTAAATTGAGCAAGAACGTTACCAAAAATTTGAAACGAAGCAGAGTAGCAGGCTGAATTTTGCCCTGATCATAGTTTATCTCTCAATGGAGATCTGGTTCTCAAAGCTAGAATATATGCACATGTTTCTCAAGCTAGATATTCTTATATGATTGCAAGATACGAATACTGAGTGCTCAAAATTTCACAAACTGTTTTCTCATGATAATAATAATCTTTATAAAGCTTAAATAAGCAAACACAAAAAGAACTTTGCAGATTTGCGAAACATTCATAGTGTTTGAGCATTTGGGACTTGATAAGATAGACATTTGTATCCTCCTACAAGGGCTACAATAGTCACGTCAGTTTCTCTTGCTGTTTTTGCTTCCTAGATGTAAATTCATCAAAAGAAAGTAGAAGTGCCTTCTCTTATGCCTCTGATCTATCATAAAAACACTTCCAAGCAAGGTTTTAAATATCGGATATCGGGGAAATATCGGATGGCTAAAATTCATATCGGATTGCAGATATCGGGGAAATATCGGGGATATGTGGTAAATATCGGAATACCATAATGAATGTTTGCATACATAGTATAATGCATTAAAATATAATCTCGACATATGTAATAAAATTTAAGCATACAAAATATGAATAATATATGTTTAGGATCACTAATCAACCTTCTAAAACAAACAAAAGTGCAAAACAACGTTGCAACATTTGATCTGCTTTTTTTAGGGCAAAATATCATTTGATATAATGGGGAACTTTTGATATCTCGCCCAAAAATTCCAAACACGGTATATTATTTTGCAACAAGCTATATAAAAAGATAAATTGGTTCACATATCGGCTAATATATCGACCATATCGGGGATTTGTCACTCAAAATAGCCAAAAAATGGTAAATGATATTTAAAGACCATATCGGTTGCGGCAAGCCCTGTAAAAGGATATATCGGGGGATATATCGGGCCATGTCGGGGATATTTAAAACAATGCTTCCAAGTTTTAATAGGCAAACATGAAATTGTTTTTCATAATAGTTCCATGCTAGGCTTAATGGTAAATAAGTAGCTGATTTACTTTTTCTAGATGAAAGTGCATATTGAAGAAACAAAAACTAAGTACAAAAATATTCAGACAACCAAATCATACATCAAAGTAGAAGTGGCTTATAAGGAACTGCACTTGTAAAGTTGTAAATCATAAGTAGGAAGTCACATTAAGTTCGAAACACAAGAATACTCATCAATTCCCTATAAACTTTTTTACATGGGTACTTCTAACATGGAGCCATACCCATACCCGACACATGTCATACCCGTACTAGACACTTCTTGGATACTCCTTAATTGGACACTCTTTAAATACATGCATATATTTATTCGGACATGTACTCAGTTATACAATGCATGTTTAATTTAAAACACATGTCATAAACTTCTTGGATATATATCATTCTCTTAACATCCATTTTTGTAAATTGTTGGATAATAGTCAAGTTCGCTTCAGCCTTAAGAACTATGATTTAAAAGGGCCGTTTACATATACAGCTCAGAACTATGATTATATCCCATGAGTTTTAGCCGCGTCCCTATACCCTAACTTCTACAAATTTGCCATGACCCGTAACCATACCAGTACCTGCACAATCTAGCCTATAAATCAAATGACATTGGAAATGTTCACCTCATATTCACCCACAAGTATAAAGTCAAATAAGAGCTTAGACTTGCCTAATTTCCATAGTCTGATAACTAGATTTACGTTAAGAACCCATATTAAACAATTTAGCATATCTGGAACTCCACTAGATGCTGCAAGCGTGCTGAGGAGATGCCAACTGCTACTTTCACACAATTCCATTCTTCTCATTTACAGTATCTTATTAGTTACATGAACAATGATTCCTGCATGTGTGACAGTATGAGTTTCTCTAACCTTACATTTAATGCATCAGTATCTACTATTTGTGAACAAATTACAACACAATGTGTCCTATCTAGGCATTTTTTCCAATACAAAACTCATGCATTTCATAAGATAATAATCTAGATAGCACAAACTGAGAAACAATTGACTACCAATATGAACATGCCATGAATAAATAACCAATTAAATCAATAAAATTCATTAAAAAAGATAAAATATCAAAGTATCAGCAACTTACATCATCCCATCAGGCTTCAGCCACCTGTCACGGGCCCATATCACAGAATCAAACATTGACTCTCGCAGAAGAAAGTAACCCATCCACTCTGAAATTATAACATCAACTGTACCCAAACAAAGAAAAAATTGAGCCAAGCCTTATTAAGAAGTTACTCATTTGTACTCATAAATCATAATAAGTAACAACAATTTCATAATGCACCCACCATTTTCAGGCAATGTAACATCCTCAATTGATCCCTCAATTACTTCAACCACATTCTCAACATCATTAGCCTTAACAAGCTCTCGGGCATGCTCAGCCATCTTTGTGGCCTCAACAGCGTAAACCTTCCTTGCTCCGGCCTGTGCACTCCAAATCGCAAGAATCCCGCTGCCAGTGCCCACATCCAACACAACCTATTTCCCAAAATAATACCAAGAAACTATCAAGTTTTGCTGAAGATGAATAGCATATCAAAAAAACAAAGTTTTTTTTTTGTGTGTTTCAGATATTGGTCCCCAAATCAATTAGAAATCATTTTCCTAATCTAAACTTTAAATTTATTAACAGAGATTATTTGCACCACTGGAACTATATTATTTATCGTATCACTAAAACTAAAATATGAGAGAACATATTCTCCTTATGGATAATTCTAGATACCTTCTCTATTTATAACGTGTTTTTGTAACTAAGCTTCCTTAATTAGTAAAGAGTATAATAAATAGTATAACTTAAATATGGCTTTAGTTTTGTTTAAAGATATATGCCTCCTAAATTTGTTACCAGGTGGTTAGAATAATTCGAAGAGCTTTGATTAGGAAAATGAATAAACCAGAGTTATTATTGAGCATAAAAAATAGGTACTAAATATACTATGTACTTGCTTTAATCCCAACCATAGTAATACTGTCTAATTGATTTACCATACACGCAACAACTAATCAACGAAATAAATTTTGTGAGGAACAGGAGAGAGAACCAATAATGGCATTTAAATTGGGAAGGACCAAATATTTATTGCATTTAATCCATATTAACATGTACCCAAGGACGCCTGTTAGACAAACCCTAAAATCTAACTAAAATCCTTTGGTATTTTTCTCTCTTTTACCTGTTAGACAAACCCTAAAATCTAACGAAAATCCTTTGGTTTTTTCTCCCTTCGTTTCATTACTCTCACTATTTTCTTTCTTCTCTCTAGTTTTGATGTGTCTTCTTTAATATTTGTTGGCTTATGTAATTTTTTCGAGTATTGAATTCGTACAACAAAAAATATACAAAGATGAGGGTACAATGGTAAACTTTAATGGCATTCATTTTATTATCCTTACTTAACTTGAATAACTAATGATATTCAAAGGAGTTAGTTAAAATCTAAGTTATCCCGACACCTCATCTGGACTGCCATACCCATGTACGACAGGTGTCCAACTTTGACACTCCATGGATACTTCTTGGACATTCTTTGAATATCCATAAATGCATATGTCTTACACTTTATGTCATTTCCTACAATGCATTAGGCGCGATTCAGAAGTACGATTTTAAACAATTACTTAGGCATCAAGCTAAAAAAAAGCAGTTTTTCAATTCACAATCTACTTAATAAGCGAACCATTATGACGTGTGAATGAGAAAACAAATTCGATCTCGCGTGATTATTAGTTTCACTGTGTGTGTGTATGATCGTGTCCCCGTATCCTACTCCTCACACATTTGTTGTATATCGCACCTGCACCCCACATCCAAACCCATGCGTGTGTAACATAGCTTTTTATTTATTTATTCATGCATACACGTGTAACATAGCTTAAAATACACTCTTGAGCACTTGTTTTATTGGGTGATAATTCCCTTATCCTTGCTTGTTTTAATAACTTCATGAGACTTCGACGAGTTTCTTACAACGTACTTTTGAGCGCTCATTTTAAACTAGGCAAAATTTCACAAAACCTCCAAGGAGTTCGGCTCAAAGATTAACCCCGAAAAGTTCGGTGATGTCACTTTAAACCCCCGAAGGCCTTTGCATTTTCTCTTGGATCGACTTTCAGACAATCCCCAACTTAAAAGAGTTTGGGGATCAAGTGGGGTTTCCAAACTTCTTCGAGGGTTTATCTCAGAAGGGGCCACACTTCTCCGGGGTGTTTGTGAAAATTGTTAGGGGGGGCGAGATAAGACTTCACCTTGTCTTTGAAATGGTGCTTGTTCTGGAAGACGGCGTTGAAGTAGGCGTCCATGCGGACTCGATCGGAGAGCATCTCCTTCTGGTGGTAGAGATACGCGTAGGTGCAGAAGTAGTTGGCGAAGTCTACGCCCTTGTCCACGCTCGATCCATTGCCCCTGCTCTCCATTATCGCTCGACGCTCGGTGAGGAGGAGGAAGGAGAGAGGGGGGGAATGGGGGCTGGGGTTTATTAGGGCTTTGGGTGATCTAGGGCTTGAGTCGAGGAGGAGGCGGAGGCGGGAACAGGACGTGATATTGCAATTTTGGTGGGTCAAAGTTTGGGCTGAGGTTGTTGATATGCTGGGCCGTGGTTGGGCTTTTGTCCGGTACTAGCCCGAATGACGCTGGGCCACACTGTTACGGGCTTTGGTTGTTTGATAATAGGGCAAATTTTCAAAACCGTCCTATTTGCAAACTTAATTGCAAAAATATCGACCCGTTTTGTGCTTATTTTTCAAATTCGACTTGAAGTCCCGTGAACTTCTATGAATGTTTGAGAGGAGGATTATCGGAGGACTAAACTTCACGGGACTTGAAGTCTTGTGAAATTTCAAATGATTTTTTTCAAAATCGACTCAGTTTTAGCCAGTTGGCTGAAACTGTGTTGAATTTGGAAAATAAGTACAAAACGGGTCAATTTGGCAGCTTTGAAAATTTTTCTTTGATAATACTTTGAAAATTTGGCAGCTATGATACTCCAAAATTAATATTTATTTATTTATTAGTATAAAGGGCAAAACAAGTAATCAACATCTTCAATCCTCAAAAACTGTCAAACTGGATAGAGCTTCGCTCACGAAACCAAGTTTTCGCCTCCCTCCATTCATACTCCATCCTAGCCGTCCTTGGATTACAAATGATGGATTTAAATCTAATATATAGGCCAATAATATTAACTAAATATGTATTATGTGCTATCAATCAAGATTGCCTCATTAAAGTGATATGATTTAGGGTTTGGACCATTAATGCATAATTAAAGTATGGGTCTCCTATGTGTAGAGACCAAATATAATTATTAATTCTATGATTGGCTGAATTGATAATTATGAATAACTTGTATCAGTTATAAATAGGGTTGTGGCTCCCCAAATCTCTACGTATAATCTCTTTCTGATTTTTTATCTTTAGAAAGATTAGGGTTTCTCTAATGAGGATATACATACAAGATTCGAAAGATCTGCATCTCAAAACTCAAAAATCACATCATACTTTATGGATTCGGGTATGGTTTCACATCTTCTCAATTATCTCAATAATTTGACATGAATCAATCTTGGGATTGATTATAGTTTTATCTCTTAAAGCAAAAGTTTATCTTTTTTTTGATCTAACAACAAACACATAAATTTTCAAAAAAAAAAAATTGAGGGATTTGTCTATCCTATTGACACAGATACCTTATATTAAAAGTCTCCAACTTCTCAAAAGAGTATGGTGTTGTTTTATAAATGTATGTCATTTACACTTTGTGCCATCAAAATTCTTCGGTTCCTGCAAATGTGCTGAGAGAAAAAAAAATTGAAATAATAACCATTGTGCCAGTGGTACACCGAAAATTTTAGATTTATTTGGTGTACAAACTTGTCGGCAAATAAGATATAAGGTAATTGCATATTTGTCTCTTAAATTATCTTTGATTGCCAAACAGTCCCTCGATCTTAGTATTCGCTTATTAGTCAATCAAATCATTAATTTTCTTGCAAATTCGTTCATCTACTTAGGTGACGATATTTAGGAGAGTGAAATTCTGTTAAAGGAATTAGAATTAGATGGTTTTCTTGTTATACCCCACACCTATAATTAACTTTATCATTAAAACCTTATCAACTTGTTTCATAATGCATTTATACCCACAATCCGCTCCAACTAAAACCAGAACTCAACAACTTTTTTTGTGTTTTTATAGTATGTCACATGTTAATTTTCTGTACCTTTAGGATTCCACCAATTTTAATGTTTTAAAATTTTAGAGATAAATGAGGTAATAGTTTTAAAATTGTCGAATAAAATATAGCTACTAAATGTTTTTATATTATTTTAAATATAATAATACTATTTTGCTCAAAGGCTATGATAGAAATGGAACCCGCCCAACACGTACTCTCTAGAGTCTAAATCAGAAAAAGCAAATTTTTTTATTCATCGCCCGCCCGATTTGTATTAAAGGCTCAATGGTTATGACAGATATGGATCTGGCCCATTATTTAGACAGATGTGAAGAAACAAATGAGATAAAATAAAAAACCAGCCCTTAATTGGGCTTCGGCCTATAAACAGTCGTAAGTAAAGCGTAGCAAGCACAATCATAGTTAAAAAAAATCACGCATATATACAACAAAAATTCCCGCTATTTTTTGCCCAAAGCATGGCCTAGACGGCTAGAGCCTAGACCTCACCCGGGCGTTTCAGTGCTGTCGCCCACAGAATCCACACTGGCCGACACATCCTAGGCGACCGGGCGTGCCCAACATCGGCGGAATGCCACGCGGCGATGTTGATCCCCCATCTCAATTATTTGGATCGGAGTGCGTTTTAGTCCGGTTGTGTAAAGGGAGAAGCTTGTGAAAGGTTGAAAGTGCGGAGGGCATAATGTCAAAGTTGAATCTAGCACCAATTTGTCGTGAGTTAGATTTAAATGTTAATTTATTTGATTAAATAAAAGTGTTATGCATAATTAATGCAGCTAAAATTTATTTATTTAATGCGTTATTTATGTTGCTGGTGAGTTATGGAGATTGATGGATGATCTGAAAGAATGTGATCGCTAGAAAGTTAGTGTGCGAGTGTGTAGGTGTGAGAGTAACTTGTAACAAAAAGAGAGGTGTAGTCTTTTGTGAGAAAGTTGTACTTCCTTATTTGAATCAAATGAATTTTTGTTAACCCCACCATTGTCCAAGAATTTTTATCCAAAGCCTCTTTTTGAGTCCACAAATTCCATCAAAGTGATATCAAAGCCTCGTTCGATCTAGCCGAGCCAATCGAAGGTGCTCGTGTACGAGATGGCGAACATGATCCAGCCAGAGATTCCGAAGCTGATGAAGACCAATTACGACAACTGGAGTATCCAGATGAAAGTCTTGCTCCGCTCGCAAGACTTGTGGTAGATCGTGGAGAATGGCTACACTGAACCGAAGTCACCTGCAGCAGAAGCAACTCTCACCGCCACACAGAAGAGTGAGCTGAATGAGGTCAGAAAAAGAGACAAAAAGGCTTTGTTCCTATTTTCTAATATTCAAAGGTATAGATGAATCAGCGTTTGAGAAGATTTCCAATGCTCTGTCCTCTAAAGAAGCATGGGAGATTTTACAAAAATCCTATCAAGTTGCGGAAAGAGCCAAAAAAGTACACATCCAAGCATTAAGAGTTGAATTTGAAAATTTAAAATGAAAGCTACAGAATCAATATCAGACTATTTTAGTAGAGTTCAGACAATAACTAATCAAATGAAGAGAAATGGAGAAGAAATTAACGATGTTAGAATTATGGAGAAAATACTTAGGACTTTAGACTCTAAAGTCAAATATATTATCCCCGCAATACAAGAGTCTAAAGATCTTTCCGAGGTTTCTATTGATGAGCTGCAAGGTTCTCTGTAAGCTTATGAACAAGATATAAACATCAGTTCAAATCAAGCGGATAAACTAGATCAAGGCTTGCATAGTAAGATGACTATCAAAGAAGATAGTCAAAGAGGACGTGGAGGCTATAGAGGCAGATGCTCTTTTCGAGGTGGCTCAAACTTCCAACAAGGTCGTTCGATCGAGGAAGAGGTCGTAGCGCACGAGGACGAGGAAGAAGTTACCAAGAGGATAAATCTCAGCCACAGTGTTACAAATGCAAGAGATACGGCCATCTCAACTATGAATGTTAGGAGAAATCGAATCAAGTGGTAGAAAGAAGTAGCTTTGTAGAAAGGGAGCAGCCAAACACTTCAACAGTCCTGCGGACGTACCAGGAGAGTGAAAGCAAGAATCAAGATGTCTGGTATCTGGATTCAGATGTCAATAACCATATGTGCGGCATCAAGGAGTTCTTTACCGAGCTGAATGAGACGATGCATGGAGATGACACTTTTGGAGATCAGTCAAAGATTCCAGTAAAGGGCAAGGGCAAGATAATGATCCAGACAAAGACGGGCGAGAACATGTATATCTCTGACGTCTACTATATTCCAGCATTACAAAATAATATTTTGATTCTAGGTCAGTTCATTGAAAGAGGCTATGATATACATCTAAAAGACCTTGCCCTCACTATTAAGAACAAAAATGAAGTTATTGCAAAGGTGAACATGCCTAGAAATAGACTGTTTACCTTAAATATTCATACTGACTCTGTCAAGTGCCCGAAGACAATCATAAAAGCTGAGACTTGGCTCTAGCATCTATGATTCGGGCATCTCGCATTCAGTGGCATGAGTCTTCTGTGGAAGGAGAAAATGGTGAAAGGACTGTCGCAGATCAACCATCTGAACCAGCTATGCGAAGGCTATATGAAGGGCAAACAACATAGAAGAAGTTTTGAAGTTGGAAAGTCTAGACGAGCAACGAAGTTGCTATAACTGGTACTTACATACATTGCAGGACTATTTGATGTTGTTTCACTTAGAGGAAATAGATACTTTCTCACATTTATTGATGATTATAATAGAAAAACCTGGATTTACTTCTTGAAAGAGAAATCCGAAGCCATTGAGAAATTCAAAGAATTCAAGGAGATGGTGGAAAAGCAAATCGACTATCACATCAAGGTGTTGCGATCAGATCGAGGTGGAGAGTACACATCAAAGGCGTTCGACAACTTCAACAAGCAGCACGGGATAATCCATCAGCTCACAACCGCCTACACACCACAACAGAATAACATAGTGGAGTGGAAGAATCGTACCATTCTAAACATGGCCAGAAGCATGTTAAAAATCAAGTACTTGCCGAAGACTTACTGGGCTGAAGTCATAGATTGTGTTGTTTACCTCCTCAACCATTGTCCAACAAAGAGCGTCAAGTTCAATACACCACTGGAGACCTGGAGCAACATCAAGCCAAGTATCAACCACCTGAAGGTGTTTGGGTGCATCTCATATGCACACATCCCGGAGCAGAAAAGAAAGAAGCTGAACGATCGAGGAGAAAAGTGTATATTCGTTGGGCACGAGAGGAGGACAAAAGCATACAAGCTCTACAATCCAGTTACAAAGAAGATGATCATTTCAAGAGACGTGGAGTTCGATGAAGAAGATTA